CGATTACACCATTTTAATTAACGACATCCTCGAGATTCAGTTGTAGATCTACGGATATATTCGTATTATTTTAGGATCATGTCATTTATATCTTTAAGACACGAAGAAATGGCGAACATTATGTATTTTTGCAATTAGTATAAAGCTTTTTTTTTAATATATATATTTATAGCCTACATGGGTGGACGATCTCACAATCCACCTAGTGCTAAGTGGTTACCGGAGCCCATCGACATCTACAACGTAAATTCTGCCATCCACCTTGTGACCTGAGTTATAGGGTCCAGTTTTTACAGCACGACGGCTGCCCCATCCTTCTAATTAAACCGCATTACTGCCTACCCGTCCAGACTCACAAGATTTCCCCATCACCAGTAATTACGCAAATATATAATTTTCAAATTTGATTTTCATTACACGATGTTATTCGATTAGTAGATATAGGTATTATTGTGTACTCTAAAACATTTAAATCAGTTATACCATTGTGAATGATGCTGCATATGCATCAATGACATCTATCAGTATGCTGATAAAGTTGTGGCATAGCACATCGGTCACCAGAAATTCCCTTGAAACTTGGAAACGAAAATGTGATTTTGTCAAAAATAAATATACTTTTTGGATGAATATTGCAGAATGAGGTTAATTAAACTGATTTAATTCAAGAAGATGCCAGCTTGAGTATTCGGTGCAATGAAAACCCCATTATTACCAACCCCATTATGACAAGGGACCATTATGGCTCTTATATTGCATGGAGATCTCCGACACCCTTGGGATCCATTGGCCGTCATCTATCGGCGTCGGGGTTAAATTGGAAGCAAACGCAAAGCTCGTCTCTATAAAGTTTGAGTTCTTATTTATATAAACGATACTTTATAAAATACTGTTACTCTCTAAAGCACAGTATGGACTTCATAGCTAGTATAGCGAAAAACTTTTACAAATGTCTATGATCCTAATCTCACGAATAGGTTGGGATCGTTGAACTTTCGTTATCCGCACGCTTAATTTATATTATAATTTTCAAAAGTTTATTTAACATGTAGGAAAAGAAGGGATTCCAAATAATTCAATATACCAGAAACGCTTCCGTGTTATCAATGTAATAATCGAACAAAGGAACACAGTTCACTAATTTGCTTTAAACTATTATACTTAGGAACCTACTCAAAGTATAATGCGTTTTTAGTGATCTTAGTCCTCCATAGTATACGGTTATACGGTACTATTGGTATGTTTTGGCCTTTCTCGTATTGCCGATGTCCATTAGCCGATACGTTTGTATGCCTACTAAGCCAATAATAAAAAACTTTTATATGCTCTGCACTCACGTGATAGCGCCACACCGCATTTCTAAATATTCCTTTTATCGGCTTTTCGTCGCATTCACATTTCAGCGACTTACTTGAAAATAACGCAAAGACTAAATTAACTTCATGAGCCAAGTCTTAGCCATTAAGTTATTTATTTTTTAATTTTCGTCAACTGTCGAAGAGCATGTTTATTTAATACTTCATAACGAATGCCTGAGAGATATGCAAATGTAACAGTTATATTTTCAATTAATAAATAAAACTCTCAATTTTAACGGTAGGCGGCGGCTTGGCTTTGCCCCTGGCATTGCTGAAGTCCATGGGCGACGGTAACCACTCACCATCCGGTGAGCCGTATGCTCGTCTGCCTACACGGGCAATAAAAAAAATGTTGCATCCGTCTTCTTTTCACGCGAACATACATAACAACTACATTAAAAAATTCAAAGAAAATTAGACAATTTTCAAGATCACAATTTTAATTTTAAAACGACTTAATCTATCAAAATATAAAACAAATTCTGTTAATTAGACATTTTCTAGAAAACTGTAATTTATACATATTTTTTTTGATAAACTTTCGATTCAACTGAATTTTCAACACATTTTACAAAACAAAGTAGTGATGCGGATATACACATAACAAGAATGCACAATAAAGAGCTCGCAAATCCTAACATTTGTAGTTTGAAACTTGTTTATGTTTCAGGGTACGAATATTGATGAACTTTTGCGTTTACACAGTGTTAGAAAGCATTATTGTGTTGCTTTAGACTTAGTTGCAGCGTTCGTTAGTAATTTTGTAGTCAAAGACAAGCAAAAACAGAATACTCGCAGTTTCATTACAAACTACTTTTACAGTAGTTTCGTAAATTTATGCGAAACGTGGACACAATTAAAATTACTAATACGTATTTTCCTCGAAAGTAAAGAAAATACCACTACTTATGGTTTTCACGTGTGATGATCGATGGATTTGTGAACCATTAAATTATATTGATACTGAAGTTTAAGTGGGCTGGCCACGTAGCACGACTCGGGGATGGGAGATGGACATCGAAAATAACTGCATGGGACGGTCCACAGGGCAAGCGGCGCGTCGGTAGACCGTACACGCGTTGGGAGGAGGATATTAGAAAGGTTGCTGGACCACACTGGATTTATGTCGCCAGAGACAAAGCAGAGTGGAAATCTTTGGAGGAGGCCTTTACCTGAGAGGGGTTCATACATATATTATATAAACTAAATATACAAAAAAAAAAGTACTTGTATGGAAGAAAAGGCTTAAAAAAAAAAAAACATATGTTGTTGATAGTTCGATCGATAAGTAAATACAAGCGTTAAATAGAGATCAAGTGATTTCAATAATAGCTCACTAAATAACTTTTATATAATATAAATTGTGTGTAATTATGTATATATGTATTTTACTATCTTATATATAGGTATATTAAATTGTAGTATGTGTATTCTATAATACTGAGATGTTATTTTAAGGAAGATTTTTGTTTTGAGTTTGTTCTTTTTTTTTGTTTTATTGTTGTTGTTCGTTATTCTTTTGTTAATGCACCTACGATGCATTATCTCTGCACTACCCTATGGTCGACTGGAAGAGAATGCCCATGGCATTAAGTCCGCCTGTGTACAAGTTTTGTTTTGTGCATAAAGTATAAATAAATAATATAAATAAATAAATCAGATTTTGTGCATCGTCATTGTGTATCAATTACCTAACAGGCAATAGGAAAACTTTTTGTTAAATACATATGTTTTTTCGATTGGGACCTTTTATCTTATCGTCTATTTATCGAGAGCGGTTTCAATACACCATTAAAAGTTATAACCGAAATAAGTATAATATTTATTTCATCAATCGAATAACGACGACTTATTTTAAATCTTCTTCGATTTTCACAATCGTAGACTTAATCGAATCTTCAACAACGGTCGTCTGTGGTGATCACATAAACCACATGACCGCGATATCACGAGGCACACCTTAGGTACCACAAAACACCACATTGTCATTTTAGTTGTTTATTTAGATAATATTAATAGCAACGGCAACAATTATCTTAAGCCTGTTCTCAAGAAACAATAAGAAAGGAAGGAATTCTAAAAACGTATGAACACATTATCAAGGATACTTTTTATATTGAATATGATTAAAATTTTTTTAAACTTATTCTATCTATTTATCTGTAAGTTTATAGTCACAACGACTGAAACAATTTAATTGATATTTTAGATATATACAAAAATATAGAGAAAACGTGTGGCATAGTTTTCTTTTAATTTGATATAATAAATAAACGGAAGAAATTTAGTATTATAAAGAAAGCTACTACTGCTTAAAGATAAATAAAACTCAACAGGCGAGTTACATAATAAACCTATGCATTTATTTTATAAATGCCTACTTTTTTTGATTCTATGATTCGTCCTAGTCCCGCGAGATGCGCAGCACTTTAATTGCCAAGCTTATTCATTCACGTCGTAAATTTTGGGAAGGAACATGATCTAAATACAATTCTTTTTTTATTTTTATTTATTGCCCTTGTAGGCAGACGAGCATACGGCCCACCTGATGGTGAATGGTTACCGTCGCCCATGGACTTCAGCAATGCCAGGGGCAGAGCCTTTAGAGAGCAGGGGCTTTATATTATAATTAAAATGGTGTCGCTGTGTAAAACTATCTCCAGTCGTCTTCAATTCCACAAGCTATCCTTTATTGTCAAATATTAATTAATCCTTTATTATAAAGTAAAGGAGCACTTAAGGAAAAAGTTAATTAAATTTACATCCTTAGACACAACATTTTGTGATCCGAAATAAAACATAAATCATTACACAGATAAACCGCCTTAACTGATTTGGAACTGAATCTTTACGTTAGTAACGTAAAGTTGAAACGCACGTGTTGTAAAACATTCTCTACCTGTAAAATATCCCTAATGTCGCACATAAAGTTTGTTAGTTTACTGCGAAAAGCCTTGAATTGTTGGTATCGTATTCGAGCCAGAGACGAAGTCTGATTTATCGCTCAGCGCTGTGTGACCCACCAATCGAGTTTACAATTTCGTATTCCACGAAATTCATAAATCTTAGATACGAGCCAAAAAATGTTTTTCCTATGTTGATGTTTTAGGATTATTAAACATCTAACCCATAACCTAAAACCTATTTTTTTAGAATACCTATGTATGTATAGGTAGGTATATAGCAAACGAAGCGCACCCACTCACAAAAAAGCTCATACGAGTATACACATATTCATGCTCGTTGCTTCAGTGTCATATATATTTTTTAAATAATAAAATGTAATTAATGAATTTTCAATTTAATTATTGAAACCACTCAACGTTTCTTCCTCTCTTGAAGAATTCCTCGAACTATGAAGTTGAAAAGAGGAGTTCTTAAAAAGCTTCGGCGCGGGCGTTCTGTCCAACATACTTCTGGATGAAATGCTGAAGGTTTTTCATCGCGCATGTGCCGAAGGGCTTTATGTAACCGCGGGCCCATCTGAAACCCAGCGCGATCCATGGACTAGCGTCCGTTAGGAAACTTTACTCATTCATCTTTTCCCCAAAAGAGGGGCGAGGGGAGAGAGCCGCGCTGCGCTACGCGGAGTAAGTTATATAACTGTGGTGGAGGGCGACGCCGATTTCCACTCCAGCCGCCCTCGCGAGCGGTCCTGTCGAGTCCCGCTGCCTCTGTACAAGCACTCGCACCCTCGCCGTCTCACTCAGGCGACGCGACGCGTGTCCTCCCGCCGATCTTAAATCTTTTCCTCGACGTTAAGTTTCCAAATTTGACTACACTCCACTTCACGCCAGAACTGGTAAGTTTTTTATTTCATTTTTTTTCCTATCCATAATAAAAAAGTAAAGTTTGTTTTTTGTATGTTGTTAAAAGTTTGAATTTTTCGGCTGTGCGGTGAATCTTCGGAATTTCCAGAAATCATAATACATATTTTACACAACGCGATTACGGTTTTAAATCATTTAAATAAATTTAATATTTTCTAAATTGATCACATCGAATTTAAATTTAAAATATTCGCAGATTAGATTTTAAGTCTCGGATTAAATGTTAGTAAATTTTATTTTTGACGCGGCCTGTGGTTTTTGTAAATAGTTTTATCGACATAAATTTATATCCTTATGATGCGGACATTTATGTTGCCTTCGTTAAAGCCTGAAAATATAGCTGTACACCGCCCTTTCACGTTTTGAAGTTATCTGTTACAGCTTTTTGTTTTCCGAACACCACAACTAATTATTATAAAAAAAAAACAGCGTAGAATGTTATCAGCTTTCTTTTCAACAATTTCTCCATTTTTAGAAAAACAATATAGAACAAAAAAAGCTGTAACCATTGCGTTCGTGAGTAATGCGTAACTTACTACATAACTCGTAGCAGGTCCGTAGAGAGATCTAATAAAGCAATTATCATTTTTGGACAACGCGCCATGAAGGGCAGACCCGTGATTAATGTTTAAGTCCACAGTGATACTATAACATTTTCTATAGTTATCTAACGGGAATTACAGTTTTTATAGAACCACAATTGAACAACTCACGAAGCCGATTTCAAAGTTTTGAACTTAAAAAAATAATTTATATATTATTTTCAACCGTAAACGAATATGCTAACAATGCAAACGTAAAGTGATAATATTGATATATCCTAACAAGATTGTTTTGCGTAAAAATGTAACAAAGCAGTAATTCGTAAAAAAATCACGGTTCGATTGAAATCTTGATAAATTATCTTGTTTTATTTTTTATATTTTAATTTTTATATTGACTTGCAGGGGCTGCCATTAAATAGTCGTTTTACGTATACTAATTAAAATGTGAGTAAAACTCATATGATTGGGATCAATTTGTAGTGAGATCATGCCTACTTTTGTTGATAGCTTTGGTGATCCCAACTGATTACATTGAAGATCATCAAGATCATGAAATACGTACTTAACAATTGTCCACGATTGACTTCCACGGTGAAGGAATAACATCGTGTAATACAAATCTAACCCGCAAAATTATAATTTGCGTAATTACTGGTGGTAGGATCTCTTGTGAGTCCGCACGGGTAGGTACCACCACCCCGCCTATTTCTGCCGTGAAGCAGTAATGCGTTTCGGTTTGAAGGGTGGGACAGCCGTTGTAACTATACTGAGACCTTAGAACTTATATCTCAAGGTGTGTGGCGCATTTACGTTGTAGATGTCTATGGGTTCCAGTAACCGCTTAACACCAGGTGGGCTGTGAGCTCGTCCACACATCTAGGCAATAAAAAAAAAGATAACAAGTCATGGTAATTTGCGCATAAATTAGATTTAGATATATTTAGATATAATTTGTTTAGGCAGCGGCTTAGCTGGGCGTCGCTGATGTCCATGAGCGACAGTGATTACTTACTTTCAGGTGAACCGCGTATATTTACAGGTTCAATAAAAAATGATGTTTATAGTTAGATCTACACCTATTTTCCGGATAGTTAAATCTACGTCGAATAATCTTATTCAAGAACCGCTTAGCTTAAAGTATAAAGTAAAAGTTTAAGTTTAAGTTAAATTAAATAGAAATCTGGTTCTTACTTAGGGACACAACTGTTGACCCGTCACTAAAGCTCGTCGGATCGTGCTTTTATTCCTGAAAAACAAACAAACATACTATCTAGGCTTATTTGTATAATCATATAATACTGAAATTTATATTTTCTGTTAATAAAATGTAAAGTAATTTTTACAAAATCTTGGTAAGACAGAAACATGATCCGCAATCTCAACAACGTATTGCCTGTGATAATAACAACAATTTTATAAGAAATCATACAAAATTATCGGTTATAGATGGATAAAAACCATCGGCATTATCTATTACGTTTAACAAAACATTAAATTTAAATTATAATTAAAAACATAACTTATTTAACAGACCGCTTAATGGTTAATAAATCTATTTACTTTCTGGAATATATGTTATTCATTTGGCAAATGTAGCAGGCGTAACGGATTAATGGATATAAGAAAATTCGTATGTGGATTAATGGCAGATAAAATGTGATCCCTGTTTTATATGGCTGAACCGATCCATCAACAACTGATATATATATGTCTCCGTGTTGCATGAATTTGTTTAGGCAAATGGAGTCTCACTCTCGAAATGATCACATGTTCGCGATAAACATGCTTTTAGTTATCGATACGATAGGCGGCGCTGGTTCAGAAACTTGAAAATAAGTTAACACAGTTGCGACATTCTACTCGAACTAAATTCAATATAAATTGTATACAGTAGGCTTACAGAGGTATAAAACTACTCGATAGAATCTTATTTAATGACAGTGAGTTTTATTGTTATTGCTCTGAATGATCAGATATGGTCAGAGGCGGGTATTAAGGGGCTACGAAAGTTAATGGACAATACAACGTAAATCTCGTCACCCACTTCCAGACATGAAGTTGAAATCTTCTGTATAATAGCTGACCCATCCTTCAAACTTGAATGAACGATAGCTTAGCGGCAAAATTAGCAGCACAATGGTCTCTATTTAATATGTAGTATTTAAATAAACACATTCAGTTTCAGTAAGTTAAGCTTCACTCAATTTGTTGTTAAATGTATTAATTAAAAAATAAAATAAAATCATCTGTTCGTGATTTTAAATTAAAAGTGACTGTTAAATGCTATGTTAACATATTCGGTGCGGTGTCTGAACACTAAATTAAAAGCTTCAAATGCAACTAAGTGAAGACTTTAAGCGCCTGATTATCTGAGAATTTTCTACTGCACCGAGATAACCTTTTTTAATTGGGTAGCTCGTACTGGATTTTATGAGCAAGAAACAAAGAAATCTGCTCTTTGAGAAACATTCAGTATGCTTTTTTGATTATGTAATTATAAACAACCCTCTTTATTGCATAGAGGAAAATCAGTTAGTTAAAAACTGTTTACTATTATAGGCAACTTAATAAATTTAATGTATCCTTAATCAAACTTATGAATAAAAAACAAATTGGGATGTTGGCGTAGAAAAGCACTATCACATATCTTCGTGACGGTAACATAAATGTGCCTAAAGGATGCCCTTTATATATCGTAGGGTATATTGTAAATTGTTACCAGTCACCTGGCTATTTTGGAGACGAAGCATTTGTGGGTTCCAGTTTGAAGGCTGGAATAGCCGTTGTGCAATTCAATTGAGGCTTGAGGTAATTGAGACCCTCGGGGTGAGTAGCAGCTTTCACTCTGCGATTCGAATGTGTTCCAGTAACAAATTGATACCAGAGAAAGAAAAGCGTTCACATTTTCATCCAATACTAGAGTTGAACCAAGAGTTGGTTCAACACTTGTTTGACATCTCGAAAATACTATTAGTACGGTCGACCTGTACCGTATTTTATTATCTTTTTTAATAACCGCGTATATTATAAAACATATCTTAAAACAAATCACCAAAATTAAATATAAAAATAAACATTCTCTTTTGGTTAATGGCTTTCATGCTAAGAGTGCCTAAAATTTTCTTTGAATACGAAAATTTTGTCAAATCAATATTTACTGTAGATAGTTCATTTCAACTGAGGCCTACAAATGGCAATCTCTAGCCACCAAGAACCAGAAACATAATTAACTACATTATTAGTGAGGGCGTGAATGTCATTGGAATTTCTCTGTAATAAGACAAACAAACACAAAGCTAATAGATTAATTATTATTTTTAGTATGAATTATTATTGCAGATTTATTTATAACCTAAACATACTCCATGAATGTCAATAAGGCAATGTATTCAAATAAATCACGATGCAGATTGACAGAGCAGAATAACGGAAAACTAATCTGCAAGTCAATACGTTCGCGGATTTTAGGAAATCACCAGTTAGTCATTGGAACGTTGGATATGCATGTCAAAGGCGACGTGGATGTATTTCCAAAAGGGATGACTGTGGTCGTTATTGGCTTCACTCTTTGTATGGTTTCAAAGGGAATACGCTTCGTCTCCTGTCCTGTACATTTCATCATACGCTATGAATGCGCAACTTTTTGTCTACGTTTTGATTTCCCTACAATGACTAATTGTATGCAGTACACTATACAATTACGTTCGATACTCTGCAGTTTTCAAAAGATATACATTATCAAAATTCGATTAATATTTATTTACAGTACAGTGCCTTGAAATCAAAATATTATATACCAGCGGCCCGCTCCGGCTTCGCTCGGGTCTTTAATGAAAATTTCAAAATAATAAATTATAATACACACACGTTAACCCTTATATTTGCGTCAGGTTTCTAAAAATAGAAAATTATAAAGATAGATTGAATATTATTATTTTAATGAACTTTTATTTTAATTTAAATTATATTTGTTTTTATCTATTTTTTTATTAATTTTTATATTATTATTTTTTTAATTTTCGTAAAAAGGTCATACATACAAAACAAAGGCCATTGGTTTATTGAATGAGACCTACCCTGTAAACGATATTTGACGTTGTTTTATTTTTTTTAAATAAAAGAACACTTATTGATAATAGTCAGACATATGCTTTCGCGACATTTTTTGTAAATAATAATGTGTTCTACAAAGTCAGTACATTATTTTATTCTATCATCAATAGATTTCACAGCCCACGCGATCTAAAAAAAATTTAGGTCATTTTTCTACACCTTGGGTTACATTATTGGAGTTTTAGTACGGATCCCTAATTTTTTTAAAAAGAATATAGCCTATGTCACTCGGGGATAATGTAGCTTCCAAGCAGTGAAAGAATTTTTCAAATCTGTTCAGTAGTTTCTGAGCCTATTCAATACTTACAAACAAA